GAGCCGGCGGGTGGACGGGCCCCGGGGCCTTAGTGACGGGCTCTTGGTGACAGCCGGACCCCGTCAGCCTCTCCTGGAGCCGGCGGTGCACCGCCCTGCTGCGCCAGCCACGGAGGACCCCGGCGTTATCCCGGCCTGTGTAACGCGGATCGCGAGCTGCGGACTTCTGCTGCTTTTCCATAGCACATAGCCGTGAGTGGCTCCCGAGTCCAGGCATGAAAACGTGAAGCATGCTGTTTATTGGTGTGATGGATTTTCATTTCAAAGTCAGTTTACACTTTCCACAGTACTCAGTAACAGGCAGAAGGCAGACTCACATTAAACATCATCCAGAATACTGTCAAGATTGTCACTTTTAAGTGCTTGATAAGAAACTTGAAATAAAACTAAACTTCTCACTGGACTTCCTTTAACAATTTCTGTCTATGCAACAGTAATATTCTACATTTGGTACAACTTTGATACAAAAAGAGCTCTAAGTTGATGATGATGGTGATGGATAGGATAATTGCCTGTTCTACAGGTAGGTAAAAGAGATTCAGTAGCTATCCTAAAGCACACCTCAAGTCTATGGTAGCAAGAGGGGTTTAGGGGGGAAAAGTGAGCAATAGAGCCATCCTAAATATAAATATGAAAAAGGATTTATGCGTCACGTGATGTACTGGGCTGGTTTACTTAAGTTGCTGTATCTAACAACATAATGAGACGAAAGTAGATAACCTTCCTTCATAGCATGTTCCACAATTTAGTCCGGCTGACTAGATACTTAGTTAACTGCGGAAGATGATTTCCATTCTTTGTATCACCCCAGGTGAAAAGAACCTTGCAAATTATCCGAGATACAGTTTCCAGTATTGCTGGTAAAATTAAACCTCCCACCAACAAAGACTTAGGTGTGCATGGATTGAAAAACTGCATCTACGGTGTAAATTATAAAGGTCTAGCTGGTGAGACAAAAGCCATGTATTTTCAGTCTGAGTTAGTATTTGTAGTCCAGGTTCTCTTCCTGGCTGTATCACAGGTTACCTGTGCAGTGGTAGAGAAGTCAATGTGCCCTGAGAGTGGTGCTCCATCTCGTCCCTGAAGAGTTTCAAGATCTCCCCCACTGAGATTACCAGAGATCGTAAGTTTTATGAAAATAATTTTCAAAACTTAAGTTGTTTAAGAAAGCTGAAAACAGTAAGCAGGACATGGAGTACAAGGTGTGGCACATGGCTGTTGTCCTAATATAAGAGAGCAAGGAGGAAATTAGCTTTGAAAATATATTTGGTGTCACAATGCTTGCATAATTACTTCCACCACTTCTTGAGACATCAGTACAAACATCACACCCCCCCTCTCTCCCCCTACCTCCCCCAAAAACATGCACCTTTAATTTACAGGCCTGTCAATAATGAGGGATGAGGGATGAACATGTAGGGGAGACAACACAAAATGCTTTACAAGAGAGCAAGAGCTATGTTACCTAAAAATCTAGACCCGTATGTATAGTTTGGAAGATACAGGCAAATCCTTCACACAGGGATTTTTTTTCTAGCTTCCCTTTAGAGTCTGGCATCAACCTATATTGTCTCTGCTGAAAAACTGGCTCATAAGACCTTACGTAAAGCTGTGTGAATGAAGAACTGCAAAAGCATTACTGCCTTTGTGAGCAGAAAGAATTCAAGTGTCGGATTTGTTTCACAGAGAGGGGCTTGACCTACAATGCATGTGCCAAATTAGTATCTCCCTCCACGTAGGGATGTTTTGGATCCAGAAGTCCATGCAGGCAAAACCAGAAATTGTTAGTTGTGCTATACTATTAAGCATATACGTCATTCGCAGCTGAAGCTCACGGTTATTTGTATCCCGCTTTAAAATCAGACTACTCTCCAACAGAGAACCAGGATGTAATCTGTTATTCTCACTAAGCTGATTTAATGGGGAGCAGTTCCTGAAAGGGGAGGGGAGCACAGGGGATGCAGCTCCTCCCTCGGATCCTCACATGCTCCCCTGCAGCAGAACCAGTGGATCTCTAACCCTGCGGTAAGCCGGTTCAGAGATCCATCTGGTCAAATACATACAAAGGATCAAATACCTCTTGAGTTCTCTGTTTTCTCCCTGCACAGCTCCTTGAACCAGCGCAGGGCAGGGCCCGCTGTGCACCACTGCCAGTGTTAAAGCCACGAGAGGGCCATGAAAGCTGCGAGACCCGCAGTGGGAGTGCGCAAGGGAAGGGCTGTCCCCTTTGCAGTAGCTAAACAACAGATGGGCTTCATGCCATCAAAATGCAGCATTCTCAAGCTGCTGTATGTAATACATATGTAGTACGTCCACAAAAATAGAACTGTGGCAAGAAACGCTAAACAGGCAAAGCTTGGATTTTAGGATTTAGCAGAAGTACTTGTGCTGAAGCATCTTCTGTGTTCTAAATCAGATTCTGTCAGATCAACACTGGGGATTTTTCAAGACAGAACCACCCAAGACAGTATTACAGTGCTGGTGCCTATATTGTGCCTGCAATCTGGTCTAATAACTGAGTGGAGGCTCTTTAAGAGCATAAAAATAAAACCTTATTGAGTCAGACCAGCTTTTGTCTAGTCCTGTAACCTCTCTCCAGCAGCTGGGTTAATGCCTGTTATCAGTAAAAACCACACAATCCACAAATCCTCTGTCAGACATTATAAGAACTTTCAAAAATAAATCTCACATGGAAAGAGCTATACTTGAATCACTGTTTTGGTGGCCTCTGATTTCATCCTCTCTCATCAGGAAAATTACACAGCTTCCTATGAAACCCCACATGGGGCTGGATAACTCAAATTTTAAGCAGGTTCTATCCAGAACTGGCTATGCTGGTGAGTGTAGGAGCATGAAGAAGGGGAATAAAGAGACTCAGGGAAGCTCCCAGTGCCACTACTTGTGCTGAAGTTGGATCTGTGAAGAGGAAGGTCCCGCAGCACCTTTGGGCAGCGCCCAAGTGAAGTGAAAAACTAAAACATTGTTCTCCTCAAATCTAAAGGCTCTGCTGATCTCTGTCTAGCTGAAGGATGTACAGTCCTAACTGACTCCTCCAATTTCCACTGAATAGAAAGGATATTTGTGGTGGGTCTTCCATTGATAAGTGTGGAAATATCAAAGTCTCATTCTTGAATGAGACACCACATTTTGTAATTGTGGCTCTGACTGTACCAGGGATTATAACAAAGACATGACAGTCGTTGCAGGTAAAATTGTTTGCTTGCTGCTCCACTGTTTGGCAGAGGGTTTCTTCTTCAGACCCAGCCATATCAATGACTTCTATATGCGTGTCTCTCTTCTTGATGTTAAGCAGAGACCTAGGAGGCATGTAGGTGTGAGCAAAGAGTAGAGTATAGTGTCTTGGATGGTTTGAGGACTCTGGAGAGCGCATGAGTTGCTCCAAGTGAAACAAACATGGTATCAGTCCTCCTTGGTGTAAGCACCCAAACAGCAAAGCCCCGACAATATTGAAAATAATAATGACATGTTTCCACTTCATAGCTCTATTCTGTGATGTGCTGAACAGGACTAATGGCAAGATGAGGGGAATGAGAAACCGAGGTTCTTGGTGACTGAATAGGGAGAGAAATGCCAAGGGAACAAAATAAAACAGCAGTAATGTTGGATTGCCCTCGGAATGCACCAATAGCCCAGACGACCCATGGTAATATGATCTGACCCCTATTAATTGATGGATATACTTCTTTAACATTTTAAAACCGGCACCAATGGCCAGAATATGTAAGATCCCAAAGAGCATTATTCCATTGACTGTAAAATGTGTAACTCGTGGGTGACTTCCGTGCAGTGCAAGATTATGAGGATTAAGATTATAGCTGAGAAAATTGAAAGGGGTTACTATCATTTTCTCATTTAATTGACCTATTAAATCAAATAGGCTGCTCTTTCTAATGCTGTAGATGTTGTCTAAGCCCACGGAGGTAAAATAGAAGGTGTCGGCTGTTATGAAAACAATGGCAGTAAAACATGCACATAGGACAAGCTTCAAAAAGTGGTTTATGACAGTTTTAACGCTCTTTTGAGAGTCAACAATTAAACCTGCCCAGTAAAGCAGGGGCATTAGAGCAAATGCCAGAAAGGTTGGCCTGTTGAAAAACCCAGCAGTTGTTATAATACCCACGAGAGAGCTGCTTGTAGGCTCTGCTAAGCTGCCATCAGACTTTCTTGAGGAAACCAATACCATCAGAAGAGCAAAGAGAAGTCCTTCAAGCGTGTTGGTAAACGTTCTTGTATAAAATACCAGAGTGACATACGATCCGGCAAGAAGTACCAGTGCTTTCCATGGATCCACTTCCCAGAAAGGAGCTAATCGATAAACACTATAGTCAAGTATGAAAGAAAAGATTGTAAAGAGAAGGCGAGGTGATACAAGAAGGGTGTAGCTGTTGATGCAACTTGAACATATGTCCAGCTGCTGCAAGGACTTGATCACCCAGTAGGTAACTCCAGATGTCATTAATGGGAATACAACTGTTCTGCAAGGAGAGCTGGAAAGGAACTCCCAAGGATAATAGACCTGTAGGTTTAAAATATCCCCTATAAAGGAATAAAAAAAGAAAAATACATACATACACAACATATTTTATTCAGTAATCCAGCGTTAAGGATACAGCTTAGTATAAGAGGCATCATGATGCAAAGCAGTCCCTAAACTTTTAAGACTGGTGTGAACCTTGAAATTTTTACGAGTATACCATTAATTTTTACAAATCTTCAAGGAAAAAAAACAAAACAGTCTTATAGGGTTCCCGGCGCCACTTGCTGTGGAGAGCGCAGGGCAGGAACACCACCACACCGAAGGGCGGAC